GAAAGAAGCTTATTTGCCCAGAAGTTAATTTGGTTGAAAGAAGTTAATTTGTTACAAGGATGCGAAATCTATTTTTTAAAACTTTATATGGCGTGTGAAGGGATTATTTCGTTTGAAAAATTTCAAATTTAACAAAAAAAAATTCATTTTATTTTATTACATTTATTTTTTTATGTTACTACTGCTCCATAAACCTTAAAACGCAGTCAGAACATTCAAGGCTTGGCCCTGATACGAGCAGTCTTGTTGTACGTTCTGGCTTGTTTTACCACTCTTTTTTTGATTTTCCATTAAAGGTTTTTCTATCCCATTGAGAGCAGCTGTTAACTATTTATTTTTTGGTGGCCAATAATTAGCCAATCATAACTACTAAATCTTGCTATACAATCCATTATCGTGGCAAACTCAGACAATGCAAAAAAATTTTATTCAAAAAGTTCGATTTTTTAAAATAAAAATCAGTTAAAGACTTATCTTCCTCACCCCCACCCGCGAATTTCTACAAATAATTTTTTGTTCACATTTTTCGATTGTTACAAAAATTGGCATCCGTACCAATTAGGCCACGACAAACATTTATGTTCTTCATACTCAATCTTGTAAGACCTGTCGTTAGACGGTAAAATTGATGCTTATTTGAGATGAAGTGAAAAGAAAAAGAGGCCCATTAATTTCCAATTCGATCAAAATTGATTTCTGCTTTCAATAATCTATTATTTTTTCTACTTAAAATCAAAGAAATTGGATTATTTTTTCTGGATATTTATTCTACTTTATGCTGCTTTCTGTGAAACTGGAGCCCCAATGAACCTTATCTTCATTGTTCACTGAAACCATATTCAATCACTGCTCTCAAATTCCCCCACCCCACCTGAAGTCCTCCTAAAACGCCTCCTCACGACCAGAAGCACCGCGTCTACTGCATCGTCCCCCTTTTACAGCCCCTTCAATTTAAATCAAAAATCAATTAAAAAATCAATTTAAATCAATTAAGAATGTATTGCAGTCTCTTTTTTCTCCATCCCCACCAGCAACACAGTAAGTTCCTGCTCACTTAGTCCGACTGTTATGAGAATGCGGGTTATTTAATTCATAAAAAGCAAATTTATTCTTCATTCATAATGAGCCGTGTAAAACCACTCGTTCAACTATAAAACGGATGTTTATGGGTGGGAAAAGGGGAAAGAGTCGGATTTTAATGCTACGAAAAATGAAACAAGACTGCTCGTATCAGGGCGAAGCCTTGAATGTTTCGACTGCCTTTTAAGGTTTTTATGGAGCAGTAATATTATAAACAACATAAAAAACTTAACTGAAATAAAAAAGAATGAACAATTTTTTTTCTAAAATTTGAAACTTTTTCTATGAAAATCATTCTCCCACACGCCATATTAAGAGCAAAACAATAAATTTTGCTCCTTGTAACAAATCAGTTATGGCAAATGAGCTTCTTTCAACCAATTTGGAACGATTTTTATGACGGATTAAACCTCCGCTTACGCGTTAATAGCGCAAAATACATCGCTCGTTAATTAACTTAATTTGGCCAAACTGGCCTTCTTTAAACCCCCATAACCTGACAAAAAACAATCACAGGTAAAATATCTTTTCGAGTTTAAGCTCAAGACTTTAATACTTTTTGTCTGAAGAAAAATTTGTCTGAAGAAAAAAAAAACCCACATCGAGCACAAATATTCCGTTACTTTTATTACTAAAGTCGGGAAACAATAACAATACAATCCATTTTTAATCAAAGATAATCGATTATTTTCGATATTTAAAGAGACAGACCAATTGATTATTATCCATAAACCTTCAGTGCGGGGAAGTCTTGAACATAAATGGGATAACATAATTGTAGCTCAAATTTAATTTGAGAAATCCAATTTTTTTTCAAGGAAAAACAATATTAAAATTTTGTTAACGTAGTGAAAAAACCCGCCTACTTAATTTATTAATCAAAATGGTAATAGCAGGGGCGGATTTAGGGGGCGGGCGGGGGGGACGGACGCCTCATTCCTTCAGGGATTCGACCCCCTGCCGACCCAAAGGGTCCCCCTTTGATACTTTTTCAGAAATCCATTTTTGGCCGACCGACCCTAAAATTTTTCTAAATGCGCCTTTGGCGCCGATATATCCTAACTTTGAGGGGGAGCCGGCGCCAAAAAAAAACGCAATTTTTTGTCAAATTTTTTCAAAAAGTGCCCAAAAACGGCTTTTTTGACTGTTTTTTCAAAAATTTGCCTGCGGCGCTGAAAATTTTGACAAAATAGGGGCAAAACAGTGCTTTGGGAGAGCTCGAAAAATCAATTTGGTCGACCTAAAAAAAAGTCGTCAAAATTTTCGAATTTTTTTTTGAAAATCCGCCCCCCGCTCCCTCGACAAAATCCTAGATCCGCCCCTGGGTAATAGTGCATTCAGTTCAATTCATAAATATGACTAGTATTCCTTATTTAGTTTTTCGTTCTAAGTGTTGACAATACTTGGGCAGCATCGGATCATATTGCAAATCATTAACTATTTTCATCACGAACTATTACATTTTTTTGTTCTAATTTTCAGAGATAATGAGAAAAATCTGACCAGTCTTAAACAGTATTGTTTTTCAACCATCTTGTCGATAGAGCTATTTTCTTCTGTTAGTGATTTATGGTCAGCAAACAGAATTAGTTCTGAGATATTACTAACGGTAGAAAGAGCAGCCATGTATGTCAGAAAAAATAAAGAGACCTATTGGTCCCACAAAAAAAATTAATTCGCTCGAGCCGCACTGATTAGCTTACACTTTGCCTACGCTTGATATCAATTTCAAAAAATTACTTACATTTCTGTAATTTTTTTTCAGCATAGTATTATTCAAAGTAAGACAAATACTTTGAGGATCTAATTTGATAATAGACTTAGTTTATTTAATGGAATTACCTTTTTTTTGATAACTTATTCGTTTTAGGTAACTAACTTTTTTTCCACCTCTCACTCAATTATGTTTAATTTCCTTTAGTTTGTGTAATAGTTATGTCTTGACTTTTTTACTGTATAAATATTTTCTTTATTCTTTGTAATAAATGACGGAATAGTTGTGCTCGGAGTGGTTTTTTCTCCAGACATTTTTCTTCTTTTGAACTAGGAGTTTTTGACGCAATGTTTATTTTTCAGCCGAAAGTTCTTATTACCCGGAGCTAAAATTCAAAAAGATATTTCACCTGTAATCATTTTTTGAAAACTTTTGGAGAAATAGCGATTGACAGTGCCGAAAAGTATTGTTGCCTTGAGCTCAAATTTATTAAGATATTTCATCTGCGATCGTTTTTCGAAAAATAATGGAGAACTTCCTTGTGATTCAAATATGAAAAAATTGTTGTATTTGATATTGGTAGTTGAAAAATCTTAATTAAAAAAAATTACCAAAACTTTTAAGATCAAATAGAAAGGCAGTCGGAACATTCAGGTTTTTGACCTGGAATACGAGCCGTCTTGTCCGGAATGCAGCCTGTATTTAGACAACCGAGTATTCATACTCGTCAGTATTTAGACAGATACTGTATTAACCAATCAAAATCGAGGTAAAACATAAATAATCCAAAATAAATAATAATTATTTATTAATTTCTTCTTTGTCTCGATTCTGATTGGTTGAAACAGTATTTGTCTACATACTGACGAGTCTGAATACGCGGTTGTCTAAATACTGCTATGTAACCGTCTTGTCCGTATATAATCAAACTGTTTCGCTTTATAGTAAAATCATGATTCATTAATTAGATTACAAGCATACATTGTAACTTAATTCAAACTTGATACAAATAGTTAAAGTTTTGTACAAAAGTAGTTGGAAATACATGTTTGGAAAGGCTTTTAAACGAACATTTATTTAAAAGTAAGTTAATCAATAGAAAACTTTAAGTTTCCTTTTTCTTATAAAAGTTTATAAACATTTTGAAAGCAATCGTCGGTTATCGAAAGATTCGTGGCTGCCTCCACCTTTTAGTCAAAATCAGGGGGATGGTGGTTCGAGGCTCGATAACATCAGATATATTTTTAAAAGAACGATGAAAATTTAAGAACGAGCAAAAAATATACATGGCAACGGTTTTTATTAAAACTATGCATGATAATAATCTGGCAAACATTTTATATAGTTCATTACCTCCATAGACAACTTGTCTTCGAAAATATATTAAGGCTGATAAAAATTAGTTTTTGACTTCAGAGCTCATTAGATTTCATATTTTGCTCCTTCTAACTCTTATCAAAACGATAACGTTTGTCTCTCCTCTTTGGTCATTTATAATGAGCTGATGTCGTTTCTAAGGGAAAATTTCAGTACAATTTTATTTTATCCAATTTATACAAAATAAACACTCTCTTTCCTTTATTCGTTTTTTATCAAATAAAAATACAAATATGGTAAAAAAAGAGTTCCTACTTGAGTCGTCCTCCCTTTAATTAATTCCGTATCTACGTCAACGCTTTCAAAAACAAAACTCTATCTATTATACAACCCTCGAATATGGAAAAAAAATTAAAATTAAAGGATCAATTTATAAACCTTCGTTGCAGTTTCAACCAAGGAACTGGCAAAAACTTATGCCAATGCAATATTAAGTTCTTGCTATTTAAACAATCGAACTCAGGTAAATGGTGCTGTTTAAAAAGAGTTTTAAGTTTTCATTGATTTTCATGATTTCATTTCCGTACTTAGAAATTGTAGACGGGATGAAGTTGTAAGAAACCAAAAAATACAATTGAAAAGGATCTATTTAATTACCCCCCCCCCCCCCCCCCCCATTGTACCTAGTAACGAATTGCACTAGTTCAAATGTTAAGCGTACGTGAATTTTGTATCTAGTAACGAATCTCCCCCTTTTTTTAATAATGGGGGAAATAGTAAAAAAGATCCATTTAAAGCACTTCCAAAACAAAAGACAAATTCAAGCGACTTTCAAAAAATGAAAAACATAAAGCTTCACTTAAAAACTTAAAACCTGGTTTCTGCTATATTGAAGTTTCAGAATTTTTTTTTGAAATACCTTTTTTGTTTATTTTTCTATGACGTCAAGAAAAAGCAATGAAGGAATTCATTGACGAGTAATCGCGCAGAAAAATAAGTTTATACAACCATCAAAGTTTTAAAAAAAAACATTGAAGGAATTAATTGACGAGTTAATCGCGCAGAAAAATAACTATATACAACCTTCAAAGGTTGAAAAAGTTGAAATAAGTTGCACTTTGATTGCTTCGAGTAATTTCCATAGCCTGATTTCCGTCTGTAAAAGCCGGCGGAGCAACGTCTGCGTCGGGTCTAAATTGTGTATTTAAAGAAATGGAGACACTATTTATAACTGAGGCACGTTGAAATTTGAAAGTCAATTCAATTTTTAATCTGTTTTTTATTCATTACTTTTTAATCCTGACTAGACTCTTATGGTCGCCACCATTACTCAATTTTCCCAGGAGAAGCTGATATGTGCTGCATTGGTTAGACTAGACAAAAATTTTCAATGAAAGACTTGAATTATTTACTTCGCAATTCAATTTTCAATAAATTTTCATTATCTTAACGATGTTTTCATTTGAATAAAAATTCAAAGTACAATTTTAATGGCGATTTTTATCAATAACAGTCTCCCAGAATTCATCGAAATTGTGAACACTTCTGATTCGAATTTCGCCCCGTCAGAAACAGAGAGTTTTGTTCACGTTTTCCTCAAGTTGGCGATGAATCCGAAGTTTATTTTCTACTCGTGTTTGATTTTATCCACCATTCTGAGTAACTCGTGTGTTATTTACTTTGTCTTACGACAGAAGCCGAACTTTCGCAGCTGGCGACTGAATTTGTTCATTGCGCACTTGGCAGTCGCTGGACTCCTCGTGTCTCTGACGACTATGCCGGCCACTTTGATCTCCATCCCGACTGACGACGTCTGGATATTCGGAGACAAGCTATGCAAGGTAATACATTTCTGATTTCTTTAACTATATCCCCCCTCGGGTACCTAGTAACGAAAATCCCCCCCCCCCCCTTATAAAGAAATGAATCAACAAGTGGTCAAAAATTTTCTCTTCAAAAACCAAAAATTTTCACTTGACTTGTTCACGTGTTTTATCATCACTTGAACTCATTTGTTTTTTTTTGCTAATTTAATAACACGTGAATTGTCACACTAGGGCGGATCTAAGATTTCCTCGAGGGGGGGGGGCGGATTTTTAAAAAAAATTTCAATTTTTGAGCTCTCCCAAAGCTGCACAAAAACCCCGCAGACAAAATTTTGACAAACAGGCCAAAAAAAAACGTTTTTAGGCAGTTTTTGGAAAATTTTGACCAAAAAAAAACGTTTTTTTTTATACGCGCTCACCTCTCAAAAATTAGTATATATTGGCGCCAAATGCGCCTTTAGAAAAATGGATATCTCAAAATAGTACAAAGGGGGACCCATTGGGTCGGCAGGTGGTCGAATCCCTGAGGGGGGAGGGCGTCCGTCCCCCCCTAAATCCCCCTGAATTGTCAACTGTTTACTGTTTATACTTGAATTTTGGATCACCTGAGCACCCGGGTCGAGATCCCGCTCAAAAAACCGCTCAAGATATGAGCGTTTTGAGCGGTTTTCCAACAAGATTAGAGCGGTTTGAACGTTTGGGCGGTTTGGGCGGTTTTTTTTGGAAAAACCGCTCAAACCGCTCAAATCTTGCTTAAAATACCGCTCAAAAACCGCTCATTTCTTGCGGTGATTTTTGAACGGTTTTTCAAGCAAGATTTGAGCGGTTTTTAAGAGGTTTTTGAGCGGTCTTATAAAGAAAACCAATTAAAACCAACAAAAAGGCCTGGAAAGGTAATGTGATGCTAAGATGCAGTTGAAATACTATCTGCAATTTAAAAAAAGTGCTTAAACGTTCTCAACTCAAGCAAGATATTTCTCGATTTATAGACCACAAACAGTGTGAGCGACTTTTTTCAACTGCTCAAGCAAAATATGGGGTTTTCACGTGGGACTTTGCTAAAAAGTTTGTTGGATCACATTGTTAAAGAAGTCGGCAGATTAAGTCTGAACTGAAAAGCAAATCTCAGGACTATACAGCATTTCAGAACAGCATCCAATCTTATGTCAGAAAAAAAAACTGGATCTCTGATTACAAGGGATCTTAATGGCATTATAAAGAGGGAGCACGTGGACCATTCTTGAATAGTGAATATTTTACCATCGCTGCAGTGGTAGTCCCGAACTCTGCGGTAGATGAGTGGAAAAAGACGTAAAAGAGTTTGTTGCCCGAAAAGTAGTTCCGCATTCTTCTCAAATGATTTTCAGTGACCAAATATGAGACTAAACTTTTCAGTTGGTAATTTTTTCCTCTTTGTATGATTTCCTATATCACTCATCTTCATAAATTTGAATAGTAGTTTAGTAAATTTCTACTTTTATACGCACCATCTCATATAGATTAATGACGTTTTTAGTTTTTTTATGAGGTTTTAAACGTCATATAACCTGCAAAAAAAACAAAACCCGAATCTATATTTTTCACCTAATTTGAAGCAAGATTTGAGCGGTTTGAGCGGTTTTTTTGGACGAATGCGCTCAAAACCTTGCTTGAAAATGAGCGGTTTGAGCGGTTTTTGAACGGCTTAACTAAAAAAACCGCTCAAAAACCGCGCAAGATTTGAACGGTTTTGAGCGGTTTATATAAAAAAACCGCTCACAAACCACGCAAGATTTGAGCGGTTTTTGAGCGGTTTATCTAAAAAAAAACGATCAAAAACCGCTCAAATCTTGCGCGGCTTTTGAGCGGTTTTTTCAGACAAACCGTTCAAAAACCGCTCAAACCGCTCATTTTGAAGCAAGATTTTGAGCGTAATTGTCTAAAAAAACCGCTCAAACCGCTCGAATCTTGCTTCAAATTAGGTGAAAAATCTCGACTCGAGCAGTGTTAAAATAAAAAACCTTGACAGTTTTTAAAATTGAACGCTTATGTTGAGGTGCTTGACTCATGATTCGACCGAAACGTGCCCGATTAAGTTGAGTAAAGTCAAAAACAGATATTGCGCACTCAAAAGTCTTCTCAACAATTTGAAAGCAGGCATCGTTTGAATCTGATAACAGACATTGTTCGACCGTTTCGGTTAAATCATGAGTCGAGCACCTCAGCCCGGGCGTGGCTATGCATGACAACAAAGACAAACGTCCGTCTTTCTAAAATTGAGATCGAATATTTTGTCAACTTTTATAACATGCCAATAAAAACATGCTTGAGGATCTTTTCAAACGACATTTTACATGGCATGGTTTTTGAACCATTTTGTATTTTTGGTTTGCTTGACACTGTCGTAACACAAGTCGCGGACCTCAATCTGGTCTAAATATGAGAATTTGTTTCATCTGCATATCTGCTACAGAAAAAAAAGTTTCTGCTATAATTCTTTGAATGTTTTGGACCCGTATTCAAGAGAAAGTCAAAAAAGTATTAAAACAAGACTGCTCGTATCAGGACAAAGCCCTGAATGTTCAAACTGCCTTTTAACGTTTATGGAGCACTAATAACATAAACAACATAAAAAAATTAAATGAAACATAATAAAATTAAAAACTTTTTTTCTAAAATTTGAAAATTTTTCTATAAAAATCATCCCCCCACACGCCATAAAAATAACAAAACAGTAGATTTCGCTCCTTGTAACAAACTAATTATGGCAAAGAAGCTTCTTTCAACCAATTTGGAACGATTTCTAAGACGGATTAAATCTCCGCTTACGCGTTAATAGCGCGAATTATATCGCGCGTTAATTGTCCCAAATTGGTCAAAACGGCCAAAATGGCAATCTTTAAACCCTCATAACTTTACGAAAATTAATCACAGGTGTATTATCTTTTCAAATTTGAGCTCAGGACAACAAAACCTTTCGAATGATATAAAAAGATTCCGTCAAAAATGGCTAGTTAAAAAGTCGAAATTTGTCTGAAGAAAAAAAAACCCACCCCGAGCGAGCACAAATATTCCATTACTTTCGTATCGGAAGTCGGAACAATAAAGTGTTGTAATTACGTGTTGCAATTACCCGCACTGGATTTTCTTGTATAATAATCAACCATGTTGATTTTTCATTTTCGGTCTGTAAATTTCAAAATTACTCGATTATAATCGATTGAAAAGGATTATACTCATACTATTGTCAAATCAGTATAATACATTTCACTCGAATTTGTCTGAAAATTTGAAAAGATATTTCACCTGTGATTGTTTTTCGTAGAGTTACGGGGGTTTAAAGATTGCTATTTTGGCCAATTCGGGACAATTAACGCGCGATATATTTCGCGCTATTAACGCGTAAGCGGAGATTTAATCCGTTTTTGAAATCGTTCCAAATTGGTTAAAAGAAAGTTACTTGCCATGATTGGTTTGTTACAAGGAGCGAAACCTATCCTTTTGTACTTTATATGGCGTGTGGGGGGATGATTTTCATAAAAAATTTCAAATTTTAGAAGAAGTTTTTTTTTTCATTTTGTTTGATTTCATTGAATTTTTTTTAATGTTATTACTGCTCCATAAACCTTAAAAGGCAGTCGGAACATTCAGGGCTTCGCCCTGATACGAGCAGTTTTGTTATGGCTTTACACTTGTTGCGTAGGAAAAAAGCAAAAATAAGATTTAGTTAAGCCATGAAAATTTGAGCTTGTTTTCTGTTTCTTCCATTCACAAAGTATTCTTTAAGTTTTCTTAATTTTTCATTTTTCACTTTCTTCTATGTAAATTGAATAATCAATCTTTATCCCACCTACCATCCACCATCCCCCATTTAGGGTGGAGGGGGTTGCAGGTAACTGAATATAACCCCCGTCACTCTTACCCCCCCTCCTCCATGTGGGGGGAGGGAGGGTGGTAAACTGGGGGAGGCAGATGAAAATAAGACTGGAGTTGGAGCCTAAAATGGAGTGGTAAACTTAGACTGCGTGAGAGGGTGGGTTAAATCTGTGTAAATGTGTTCGGCTGAAGTAATTTGAATTTGTGCATCGATTTCTCTTTTTAAAGGTGGTTGTCGATGGGGGCGTGGGAGATCTGATTTCTCAAAAACTTGAGATTCCACTTCACATGAATAACTAAATTTTTTTTGAAATTTTTTTGAAAGTTAGTCAAAATCTATTGAAACAATTCCTACGCGTTAAGATTAGCTGAAAAATCTACAACGTAAATTTCTAATATAAATTTTGCGTCTTTTTTTTCAACGATTTTGGGAAATTTTTATGCAACAAGCGAATGTTGCAAATTGTTGCTGATTTATTTTTTGTTAGTGGCTTCCGCAAAATTGTCAGTCGACTATGCACTGGTTCGTCAAGTTAGCAGATTTTAATTGAATTTGTCAGCTAGACTATCAGCTAAACAAGACTGCACGTATCAGGGCAAAGCCCTGAATGTTTCGACTGTCCATAAAATGGTCTCATTTAGTTTTCGATTAATGAAGTATTGACAAATTATAAATTTTAAGCTAAATATTAGGAACCGTGCATGGAACAATAAGATCAATTAGCCTGTCTCAATTGAATTTGGAATGATTTTGTGGTGCGGGATAATTCGCCACGCGTAAATAATTCGCCACGCAGTATCAAAATATCACAGCGTTTTAGCCACGCTCGTTTATTAGTGAGCGTTTCACTACATATTTAAGTCTGGAAGTCTAGTGGTGAGAAGCCCTTTTGGGATCACGAATATGGGGTCATGAGAAATTAGACAATAAACAAATTAGACGGAGGTATTTAAAAGGAAATTAGATGATTTTACAAAACTACAATTATGAGAAAAAAGACGAAAGTTAGAAAGATTAAAATTGTTTGCGGACAATTTGCGTGGGGAAAAAAATTATTTGCAGACAGCAGTTAATTTTCCATGACCAAAAAATTTACAAGTCAGTCATGCATAAATTATTCAATTCAAAACTCTCCTGTAATATTCGGATTTGATATTTTATGTTCATCTTATGTTGACAGGTAGTGACATTTTATGTTCTTTTTGTATTTATGAAAATTGGCTCTTAAGAAAAATTTTTGTTGGCCCTTTCCTTTTTTGTAGCAGTCACCTCTAAAATGCCAGATCTGTAAAACAAAATTGTCTGATTTCTTTTTTGTAGCATCCGTCTATTTTGCTTATCGTCTAATTTCCTAGGCCCCCGAACATGTATGGGTCAATAAATTAATAATATTTTCTAGAATTATTCTAAATACAAAAAAACACCCCGAGCATATTTTCATACTTTCTTCGGAACTCAAAACAATTACGACCAGTTCAAGTGTGGCTTTTTGAGAGCCAACTCTAATGAAAAACGAGTTCTAAGCAATAAAGCCTGTAAACAATTAAGAGCTAGCTAAAACGGAAAGCAGTTTCGGAAATTAAAAACATTGGCTTAATCGTCGTCGGTAGAACTTAACATAACTGCTCGTATCAGGGCGAATTCTCGAATGCCCCGACAATATTTTGAAGTGTATGGAGTTGTGTTAGTTTCAACCAAATTGATGAAATTTTCCAAAAAATAATAAAGTTATCTTAGGTGAAATATTTTTTTAAATTTGAGCTCAGAACAACAATTCATTTGAAAATAATTTAATAAATCCCGTCAAAATTAAGTAGTTAAAAAGTCAAAATTTGGAGAAAAAAACATCCCGATCACAATTATTCCGTCACTTTCTTCAAAAGTCGGAAACATAACAACTGTTAAAACATTAGTAAGTTGAGATTGTGGATGTGCGCTTTTATTTAAAGATTTGGCTAATTTTCTAAAACACTATTTGTTCCGACTTTCGAAGAAAACGGAAGGAATATTTATGCTCAATTTTTTTTAGTCAAGTTTCGTTGATCGAAAAATTTGTTTTATACCCTTTTAAAGACATTGACTTTCTGAGTTCAAATATAAAAAGATATTTTTCCTCCGATTATTTTTGGTAAAAATTTGGGGGTTCAAAAAATGCCAAATTGGCCATGTTCTGGACTAAATTACTGATGATTTGGACTGATTTAATTTTTGTTAGCTGCACATATCAGGGCAAAGCCCTGAACGTTTCGACTGTCCATAAAATGGTCTCATTTAGTTTTCGGTTAATGAAATATTGACAAACTATCAATTTTAAGCTGAATATTAAGAACCGTGCATGGAATAATAAGAACAATTAGCCTTCCTCAATTGAATTTGTAATGATTTTGTGGTGCGGGATATTTCGCCACGCGTAAATAATTCGCCACGCAGTATCAAAGTATCACAGCGTTTTAACCACGCTCGTTTATTAGTGAGCGTTTCACTACAAATTTAAGTCAGGAAGTCTAGTGGTGAGAGAAGCCCTTTTGGGATCACGAACATGGGGGGATAAGAAATTAGACGATAAACAAATTAGACGGAAGCACTTAAAAGGAAATTAGATGATTTTGCAAAACTACAATTATGAGAAAAAAGACGAAAGTGAGAGAGATTGAAATTGTTTGCAGACAAGTTGCGTGAAGAAAAAAATTGTTTGCAGACAACAGTTAATTTTCGATGACCAAAAAATTTACATGTCAATCATGCATAATTTATTCAATTCAAAACTCTCCTATTATACTCGAATTTGATATTTTATGTTCATCTTATGTTGACAGGTATTGACATTTTATGTTCTTTTTGTATTTTTGAAATTTGACTCTTAAGAAAAAATTTTGTTGGCCCTTTCTTTTTTCGTAGCAGTCACCTTTAAAATTCCAGATCTGTAAAACAAAGTTGTCTGATTTCGTTTTTGTAGCATCCGTCTATTTTGCTTATCGTCTAATTTCCTAGGCCCCCGAACATGTATGGGTCAATAAATTAAATATATTTTCTAGAATTTTTCTAAATACAAAAAAAAACACCCCGAGCATATTTTCATACTTTCTTCGGAACTCAAAACAATTACGACCAGTTCAAGTGTGGCTTTTTGAGAGCCAACTCTAATGAAAAACGAGTTCTAAGCAATAGAGCCTGTAAACAATTAAGAGCTAGCTAAAACGGAAAGCAGTTTCGGAAATTAAAAACATTGACTTAATCGTCGTCGGTAGAACTTAACATAACTGCTCGTATCAGGGCGAATTCTTGAATGTCCCGACAGTCTTTTGAAGTGTATGGAGTTGTGTTAGTTTTAACCAAATTGATGAAATTTTCCAAAAAAAAAATAAAGTTATCACAGGTGAAATATTTTTTTAAATTTGAGCTCAGAACAACAATTCATTTGAAAACAATTTAATAAATCCCGTCAAAATTAAGTAGTTAAAAAGTCAAAATTCGGAGAAAAAAAAACATCCCGATCACAATTATTCCGTCACTTTCTTCAAAAGTTGGAAACATAACAACTGTTAAAACATTAGTAAGTTGAGATTGTGGATGTGCGCTTTTAATTAAAGATTTGGCTAATTTTCTAAAACACTAGAAAACGGAATGAATATTTATGCTCGGTGTTTTTTTAGTCAAGTTTCGTCGATCGAAATAATAGTTTTCAACAAAATTTTTATACTCTTTTGAAGATATTGACTTTCTGAGTTCAAATATAAAAAGATATTTTAACTCCGATTATTTTTGGTAAAATTCTGGGGGTTCGAAAAATGCCAAATTGGCCATGATCTGGACTAAATTATGCGCGCTTTGAAGAGTTTATTCATAATGCTGAGAGCGTAATGCGAATGGTTTATGCATGGCAATTTATGCCGCACAACAAAATCGTTCCATATGGAATTGAGGCTAGCTAATCGGTCGTATTAAATTCATACGTCTCAAATATTTACACTTTGATATTGTCCAAAATTTATTGGTTTTCACTAATTTCTTTTCCAAAAACTATTCGTTGTGAATTTAGGGAGTGTCGGAACATTCAGACTGTTGCCCTGATATACGAGCAGTCTTGTTTAGCTTAAAGTTTGTTTTACTGAAAAATGAAAACTCAGTTTTACATAAATTTTTGGACAGGTCTCAAATGTTGAACTTGAGAGAATGGGATGAGACTTCAACATAAATTAGAGTGATAGAGATCAGCGTTTAAGATTTTTGACTGCCACGGGCCGGCTTTTAAGATAAACTGGAGTGCTAAATAGATCAGCGTTTAAAATAAAGTAGAGAGATAAAAATCAGCGTTTATGATAAGTTGGAGATATTCGGTCTTTCTTTGGGAAAGCTCTAGCCCAATTGGCGTACAACATTTAAAAGAAGTCATTTCTTGAGTACTCATGTAATTTCGCGTAAAATTATCTTCATATATGTCCGGACTTCGCAAACAGATTCCGATTTAGTTTACAATATGCGGAATCGACGAGTCACGAGTGCAATCTCTCTCTCTCACATCCCCCCCCCCACACACACACACACACACACACACACACACACACACAAATTCTGTTCTGGATTCCACAATTTTTGCTTCCTCAGCAAGCATTTTGAGCGTTACAATGTTTTAATGTTTTCCTTATTGGTTTCTGAATTGCCTAGTAGTAAAATATCCGAAAAAATGTCTACAATTCAAAAAAAGTTTAGCCTCGTATTGTATAAACTTTTTCATGTGTTTGCTGCTGGCTGTACGAATTACTTTTTTTGTTATTCTCATATAAAATTTCACACATCAAAAAGAAAAGGGACCTGCCTATGATGAATAATTTTTTTCTCTGATATCCACGAATGTTTATGAGCGAGGGCAACATGAAAAAGCCTCCCCCCCTACTTTGTTTTCTGTTTAGGCGAGAGCACTAGTGCAGGTAGTGGCCCCTGCATGTACTAGTTTCCTACTGGTGAGCATGGCCTGTGACAGATACTATGCCATAGTCCTGAACACCCGTCACCAGCACCAGAACCTCATCATGGTATCAACCAGCTGGTGTATGTCCATTCTGCTGTCTCTTCCCCAGCTGTATGGATTCGGAATCACCGAAAGAGGCGAGGAGCGAAAGTTCTACTGCCAGGCAGCCATGTTCATCTTAATACAACAAAAATAAATAAAAAAAATAACCGGTTAATGTACAGGTGGCACAAAATGCTCAAACCATTCTACATTTTGCAAAATGGAAGAAAAATCATTGAAATGAAAAAATTTTGTCATTTTTTCACTTTTTAATTAAAAAAATTTATGATTTGTTTTGATTCGGGTAATAATATGCTAGCTTTGAAAAAATTACGAAAGTATTTACTAACGAACACTGAAAGAAAGTTCCGCAACCTTAGCTTCAAATATGACCTTCACTAAAAATTTGTTTTGAAAGCAAAACTTTCAATCTAGTGTTTCTCATGTTTAATAAACTTTTTGGAACTGTCTGAAATGTCAACCGACTCACGATTGAAGTGGCTTTAAATAAAACGGTTTCTCAACTATATCTGGCTTTTGCTTGTGGTTCCTGGTGTTGCATCCGGAAAATTTGAGTATGAAACACTACCGAGCATAATGTGGGTTTCACTTCCTTTTTCAGGGGTTGAAAAAATAACAGATTGTCTGTATCATTCTAGAAGACAGTCAATCAAGTTTCAAGACTGCAGTTTAAGCTCAAACTTTCATGATGCAAAAGCATAAATAAAGATTTCATTGCTTTCTTAAATTCAGCAGCGCGCCAGGGTTCGCCCGTCTCAATTTCGGATGCCGTTTTTTCAAGAATTCCATTTGTTTCTGTACTAATACAGACAATTTTGGCAAACAAACAGTAAAATAAACTAATGTATACGATCATTTGGAGAAAAAGCTACGACAGAAAAAAACTTAATTTTGATCTCAGCCTTCTGAAAAGTGAGCAAAGAACCAAAACTTGCAAGAATTGTTTATTCTGATTGGACTTTGGACTTTAAACATGGTGCGTTTTAGAGAGTCCACCATCCTCCCCCTGAATTTTTAGCAAAACTTTAGAAAATATAGAAAACTTTTTGCATATTTAACAGAGCATCAAGTGTTTTCCACGAAAACTGGTTGTTGGCATCTTTGCCCACAAAGTAAGGGATCTAATATGGTAAATAACCTAAAAAGCACTAGTGATAAAAATTTAAGTTTTCATTTTTGAGTTAGAAGAAACTTGATGAATATGGGTGAATCACGCAGGCTAAGAAATCTTGGATCCACAGTACCATTTTTCCATTCTATCTCGGAACGGTATTTCTATTTGTGGTCGTTATTCCCACTGGAACTAATACGTTCTGCTACGGACGAGCCCTGTATTATCTCTACGGGTCAAACCGGCTCAACGTTCCCGTCCGCAACTCCATCGCCGAGACTCGAAATCTGATCACTCAGCGGGAGAACTCAACCAAGCTTGCAATCGCGATTGTTTTGAGCTACTTGGGATGTTGGCTCCCCTATTTCACCGGGGCTTTTCTGACAGTTTTTGCAGGATTTCAACTTCCAGACTGGGTTTTGACAATAACAGAAGGACTGGCCATGATGAATTCGCTGGTTAACCCCCTTTTGTGCTGTGGGTACAGCACTAGAAGGAAGACAATTGTTAACAGCAACAGTAAGGGGGCACAAGATAAAGTGGCTCAAGGAAGGGCTATTTCTAGCTCTCAAGTTTAATTGCATCTCCAAATTGACATTTTATTTCCCCTTTTCATATCAAAAAACAGCTCTTTCCCTTTTAGCACCCATACCAACCCAGCAAATTATAGCTTCCCCTCTTAAAAAATTACCAAGGTGGTGCTTCAATGTGAGGGTGGGGGGGGGGGGGGGGCTATGATGGCAAAGATTTAAAAGATCAGCTCCTCGTATTAATCTGAAACGAAAGTTAGAAAAAAAACATGAGTGTTGCATGTGTTGTGTCTTTATGATATCCTTGTCATTGTGGCTAATTTTAACCGTTAATTGTCAATTTATTTAGTACTCGTTTTTCATACACAAGGAATCAAACAACCTCAAAAAACTTGAAAGGAAACCTGAAAGGAAATGATTAGAAGTCAATACTAAATTAGAAAATTGAGAAGTTTTTATCGCAAAAAAAAAACGTTTTTGTCGGAAGTAATCTTCGTAAAATGATTAGATAAATGATAACGAACACCGGTTGTTGTACAAGTGGCGCAGATTATATGCACCACATTCATTAATCAAAAAGATAGGAACCAAAATAGTTCAAAATTTTCCTTTTTTCCGTTAGTTGTTATTTTCTTAGGAGTGGGTTCAAATTTTAACCTTAATATAAAATGTAACATAAATAACCCTGATTTTTTATATTCATCACCGTTCTAAAGACATGTATGCAGGGGGCAGATCTAGGATTTTCTTGTGGGGGTGGGGGGGTTTCTCGGATTTTCAAAAAACCAGAACACTATAGAGACCATATTTTGACCACAAAAAAACCCAAAAGTTTTCGCCGCTGGGAATTTTTTGAAAAAACAGGCCGAAACGGTTTTTTTGAGCACTTTTTGGAAAACTTTGACCTTCAAAATTAGTACATATTGGCGCTTTTAGAAAACATTTTGTGTCAGTCAGCCAAAAAAGATAGTACAAAATTCTTAAAATAGTACAAAGGGGTACAAAGATATTACATCGTGCGACCGTTTCGGTCAAATCATGAGTCGACAACCTCAGCCGGACATGGCTAAGCACCACCAGCGGATTTGGTGGCGCATATCCTCGCCCTTTTCTGCTGGTGCATCCGCTAGTGGTACATAGCCACGTCCGGGCTGAGGTTGTCGACTCATGATTTTACCGAAACGGTCGCGCGATGTCTTTTTTCATTTTTTTTGTGTCGAACGATGTTCGTTATCATTTTTTGAGTCGTTATCAATTTTAGAAAACTTTAGGGTTGGTCGCCCATCGCCCTTCCCCCTAAGTCCCCCTGCATTTATGCTTATTTTAACAGAATAATAACATGCACTTCCAGCGGAAACTTAACCTTAAAACCAAATTTGCTGTAGCCTGCTCGTTGTTTGTCTCATCAGTGGAAAAGACTGTTTGAATTACCTTTTTAGAGTTTGAAGTGTGACTGAAAACGTTTGAACATGAAATCACTCTTGATCTCTACAAGTTTTTTTGAGTAATCAAAAGCGCGCGGAAAAACCACTTTTTGCTGTTATTTCTTTACAATTGACAAGAATTGTTAAAACAAACATTTTTTGAAGCAACTCCTTGAATTAATTTGAGTTTTTTTCTCACAATCACTGAAAGGAAAAAATCCACGAAAATCAAACACGTTTTCTGTTCACTATACATTTTTGTGCTCTCAATAACATGTTTATAATTCACGGACGCTCATAATTTATATATTCTCAGCAAAAGTCTTATTTTTTTGAAAAATAAAAAAATAAGATTATTTTTAAACAAATTTTTTGCGCTCAACTATTTTGAAATTTTAAAAAGATATCATTCCAAATGGGTTGAATTCTGAAAAACTGCAAAAAAAAAACAGAACATAATAGCTTTCATAAGCAAAATGTTCACCCAGTGTCTAGTTCACCATGCAATCACTTAATAGCTCAGCGGAAAAATTGAAAAATGTGCGTACATTTGAAAGCTCACTGTGAAAATGTGGTTGTTTCTGTGATTATTTTCAAAACTATTCCCCAAAATACTGAAAAATCCTGATCAATGTTTCCAAGAAAGTCAAGGATATTTTTTACAGAAAGCAGAAAGTATGATTTTACAACTCATCACAACTCTCAATTTTAATTTTTTCTCAAATTCTGCGTTTTGCATACTTCGATGTTTTAGAAGCTCAATGTACTCAAGCCTTACGTGTTGAGCTCTTGTTTGTGCCGAGTTGTCAACCAGTTCTTAATTTCATTCAGTTGAATTTCCTAGAGGCGTTATCGGAGACTAAATTGAGAAAAGAAGATTCAAAGAAATAGTTTTTTTTTCATAATTCGAATAGTGTTCAATGTAAATTTTACTGAAAAAATTACTGCATATCCGTAAAAAAACGGAAATTACCAAGAATTCGCGCTTTTTGGCGTTCGCTCCTTCAACTAAAGTATTCATTGGCTTTAAAAATAAGCAGGACCAGAGTTTTTTCAGATAAAAATACTATCGTGTTGCACTCTTTTTTAAATCATTTATTGTACCCTAAGATCACTAGAAGATACATTTATGCGATGGATGTACATGAAAAGTCAGAAAAAAAGAAACGTTTTTTCAAAATACTTCTTGATTCTTATTTGAGCTGATTCTTAAAAAGTTATTGGAGATAAAATAGCAGGAGATAAACATAAGTTTTCGGATCAAATGAAATGAAGTTTTTTAGTATAAAAGAACGCGTGAAAGAGAAAACTCTTAAGCATCTGAGAAAATGCGTGAAAATCTGAGTAAATGTTATTCTGCTGTTCAACCCCACATTATTTCAACTCCTAAACCCCCATTTTTTATCACCTCATAACAAAATAATCCAAACACAATTTCACCCATTCTCAAAAAACCGATAATTTCTTTTCAAATTTAGTAGCTTTTTCAATTATAGTATTTCTAAGTTTATGTATACTAATTGATGCCAGATAAGCGATTCCTATTTCACTTGATGTATTTGGTCGCACTAAAATGATTGCAATTCAATAAAATAAAAAATTTATCTCTCAATTACGCGTTTAAAACAAAGATTTTTTACATAGCTTGAGAGCAATTTTAGATGTTTTTTGATTTTTTTGAAAGAAATTCTGCCTACCACTTTAACCAATGTAAACCGTTTTTTATCAAAGACCATATTTGAAGCGTCCTGTCAACAAGCGTCCTGTCTTGCCAACGAGTGGTTTGTAAAACGCAAAAACAAAACGAATACGAAATGGGGTTGCTCAAAACACTAACTCCAAAATGCCATTGAAATACAGCAATTAGGGAAAGTGATAATTTATCGATACCACGGAAGAACATAATCCTTACTTTTCTGATGCTCGATTAGTTTTAGGAAAACCGAGGCTCGATTATTTTTGAAAAAAACATCAACGATCTGACGAAAAGTGTTAACAGTATAATTGATGTTGCCGTCGCATTCAATTTGTGGTATCACCCGTTTAGGCCAGAACAACATAACTCGTGTAGGTCTGGCATAAAGGTATACAATCTTTTTTCAGTGGCTCCCATCCTCGCTCACTGTGAAAGCTCACTGTGAAAATGTGGTTGTTTCTGTGATTATTTTCAAAACTATTCCCCAAAATACTGAAAAATCCTGATCAATGTTTCCAAGAAAGTCAAGGATATTTTTTACAGAAAGCAGAAAGTATGATTTTACAACTCATCACAACTCTCAATTTTAATTTTTTCTCAAATTCTGCGTTTTGCATACTTCGATGTTTTAGAAGCTCAATGTACTCAAGCCTTACGTGTTGAGCTCTTGTTTGTGCCGAGTTGTCAACCAGTTCTTAATTTCATTCAGTTGAATTTCCTAGAGGCGTTATCGGAGACTAAATTGAGAAAAGAAGATTCAAAGAAATAGTTTTTTTTTCATAATTCGAATAGTGTTCAATGTAAATTTTACTGAAAAAATTACTGCATATCCGTAAAAAAACGGAAATTACCAAGAATTCGCGCTTTTTGGCGTTCGCTCCTTCAACTAAAGTATTCATTGGCTTTAAAAATAAGCAGGACCAGAGTTTTTTCAGATAAAAATACTATCGTGTTGCACTCTTTTTTAAATCATTTATTGTACCCTAAGATCACTAGAAGATACATTTATGCGATGGATGTACATGAAAAGTCAGAAAAAAAGAAACGTTTTTTCAAAATACTTCTTGATTCTTATTTGAGCTGATTCTTAAAAAGTTATTGGAGATAAAATAGCAGGAGATAAACTTAAGTTTTCGGATCAAATGAAATGAAGTTTTTTAGTATAAAAGAACGCGTGAAAGAGAAAACTCTTAAGCATCTGAGAAAACGCGTGAAAATCTGAGTAAATGTTATTCTGCTGTTCAACCCCACATTATTTCAACTCCTAAACCCCCATTTTTTATCACCTCATAACAAAATAATCCAAACACAATTTCACCCATTCTCAAAAAACCGATAATTTCTTTTCAAATTTAGTAGCTTTTTCAATTATAGTATTTCTAAGTTTATGTATACTAATTGATGCCAGATAAGCGATTCCTATTTCACTTGATGTATTTGGTCGCACTAAAATGATTGCAATTCAATAAAATAAAAAATTTATCTCTCAATTACGCGTTTAAAACAAAGATTTTTTACATAGCTTGAGAGCAATTTTAGATGTTTTTTGATTTTTTTGAAAGAAATTCTGCCTACCACTTTAACCAATGTAAACCGTTTTTTATCAAAGACCATATTTGAAGCGTCCTGTCAACAAGCGTCCTGTCTTGCCAACGAGTGGTTTGTAAAACGCAAAAACAAAACGAATACGAAATGGGGTTGCTCAAAACACTAACTCCAAAATGCCATTGAAATACAGCAATTAGGGAAAGTGATAATTTATCGATACCACGGAAGAACATAATCCTTACTTTTCTGATGCTCGATTAGTTTTAGGAAAACCGAGGCTCGATTATTTTTGAAAAAAACATCAACGATCTGACGAAAAGTGTTAACAGTATAATTGATGTTGCCGTCGCATTCAATTTGTGGTATCACCCGTTTAGGCCAGAACAACATAACTCGTGTAGGTCTGGCATAAAGGTATACAATCTTTTTTCAGTGGCTCCCATCCTCGTATGAGGGAAGTGCTTGTAAGCAGGCAAAAATCTCCTCTCTTCAAAATAAATTTTGTATGCCTCAAGTGGATG